GAAGGAAATGAAGGGGAATGGAATACAGGGGAGAGGGGGGAAAAGGAAAGTAAAAAATTACTATTAATTTGATTTGGATAAATTTAAAAATAAAAGAAAGAAAGAGAGGAAAAGATTATGTCTTTTTAATTTAACTAAATAAATTAAAGAAAATTAATTAAAATTTTATATATTTTAATTTTTTAAAGAAAATTAATTAAAATTTTATAATTTTGTATATTTAAATTAAAGTTAAAATGGAAATTTTCATATATTTTTGAGAAAAAAAAATATAAATAAATCAAATCCCTTCAAATTGAATGGATTAAAAAAAAAGATGTGGAGGAGTCCGTTACCCATCCATCTCCCTCTTCTAATGAATTTACCCAAATAAGAGAGAGGAGAGACCTCTTTGTAACTTTACTTCCCTTTCCTTCCAACTCTATCAATCTAAACAGAATGAAGAGTATGTACTATGAGAGTTTTCTTCTAGCTTATGTTTGGATAAAAATCAATAAAGGAAAGGAAGGGGAGGGGGAGGCGTAAGAAAAGTAAGAGAAGTGAAGGAAAAAAAAATGTTAATATTATTTTTGTTTGGATAAATAAAAGTGAAGAAGAGAAAAAAATAATATTTTTATTTAATTAAATAATTTAATAAAAAAATCAACGAAAATGAAATTTTTAAAATTTATTAATTAAATAAATAGTTAAAAAATATTTATATAGTTACTTTAAAAAATTAAAAATTAAAAATAAAAATAAATTAAATAATATAATCCGTTTCAATCCTTCTAATTCAAAAAAATTAAAAATAGTGGAGGGGAGAGTACTATGTCTCCCTCCATCTCTCTCTCCTCCATTAAAATTATTTACCCAAATAAGAAAAAGATACTTTTTTCCCTCACTCTCCTCTCTTTTTCCTCCAACTTTCTCATTCCAATCAAAATGTATTATCCTCTTTAAAAATAGAATAGAAATTAAACTTTAACATGTTGTAGTATAATCTAAAAAAAAAACCTTGTTCTCTTCCCTTTATTCATTTTAAGATTGTTTCTTAAAATATAAATATATGTGCACTTCCTGGCATGCTGTTGAATGATTTTGATCCAAAGGCTGGAAATTTTTTTAAAAGATTTTTAATTCAAATCTTTTTATTTGAAATGAACTAAACAAGATAATATTACTATAAACAAGATAATATTAGTATGACTTTTGAGAAATTTCTGTTTAAATTTATAAATTGGAGAAAATATGTTATGTTAGGTGTTCAATTTGATAATTAAACATTTAAAATGTAATTTATATAAAATAATATTAATTATGATGATGTAGTGTCAAAATAAGCTTTTTCACAAGACAATCATTGGTATGTTTTTTTATTTAACACATTTCATAACATATTTATTAAAAAATTATTATTTCAAATTTAAATTAAAGGTAAAAAAATTTTAACTACAAATTTTAGTGACTAAGCAATTTATTAATTCGAAAGATATATTAATTATTTTTCTTTTTATTATTCTCATTGTAATGCTCTAATAAAGCATAGTTAGGGCTAGTAGTCACATTGGGCATGTCCTCCCATGAATTTTCCATTAAGGTCTTGTTGCACTAGTATCCTTCTTCAACAAAGGTAGAAAAAATTTAGACTTTATTTGGGTTGACTATTCTTGATAATTGTATTTATTTGTTATTAATTGATAAAACAACTTATATCAATTAATTATTTATAATCCGGCATATGAGCCTGGTAGAAATGCATAATTCACGCGACATGTAAAATTCGTCACATCTAGAAGAAGATATTAACACGTGGAGGCCTTGACAAACTCACAAACACATGTTTCATGTTTCAATATTTATTACTAGCAAAAACATTTGATAAAGTCGACAAAATTGCTGGATTAAAATAGATTATGAAATTATCCAGAAAATCAACAATATTTAAGCAAGAAATGAAATTTTCCATTAAGTTGATTCCATAAGGATAATTAGGGTGTTCACGATTTGGTTTCCTTTTACGAAGAGAGAATCAAAATAAAAATGCGGAATTAAGAATGAAAGAAAAGGTAATAACATAGATAATTTTTTAATAAATTTTTTATTGTAATAATTTTTACGAGTTATTAAATGAATAATTATATTCTATATTACAACTTCTACTAAAATAAAACAAGTCAATTACTATTAAGTAACATATAAGATTTTATAAAATAATTATAGAAAAAAATTCTCTCAGTTATTTTCCAATAGGAAATGGCTGCTTTTAGTTTTTTAAGGAAAATGGTTATAGTTTCTGAATGAAAAAGGTCTCCTATTATTTTGAAAAAAAAAAAAAACTAATTCGTATAAAAAATATAAAAATTAATT